GAGACGGGGTTTCACCACATTGGCCAGGCTGCTGTCAGACTCCTTGCCTCAAGTCAGTCCTCCCACCTCAGCCTCCCAGGCATGAGCTACCGCGCCTGGCTTTCTGTATTACTTTAATAGATGGAAATTAGTAAATGAGAATAGGATTCATCTTAAAACTGCCCCCTGCTGGAAGAAGCTTGCAGTTCACTGAAAAGCCAGACTTGAGTACAAGGTCTGGGATGATACATATTTTTTAAATAAATCGACAAAAAATTTAAAAAAGGTTGTGAGCCCTCAGCTTGTAGCTTTGCTCTTCTGTGAGTCCACAGACATCCACATGTAGCTTCCTGAGGCTGCCCCTGATAACCTGACATTAGCACGAATAGTTTTTAGGATAAATGATGTTTCCTCAATAATGAGGGTTATTTAAACACTGAAAGAATAAATATCAGAGCACAAATAATTTCGTATTTATCCAATTGGAGAAATATTGCAAAGTGGCAGGTAAATGTTCAAACTGAGAGAAGTTAATAAATGAGGGAGTGTATAATTTGTACTTCATTGTCAACAGATCACTGGAAGATCTTTATGTAGGCCAAGCAAGAACAAAGCTAAGTTGTAGGTTCCTTTCATTGTGCTACCATTGCCAGGCCTAAGGAATATTTCTAAAGGTGCGTAGATCTGTTTTACTACATTTCACTTATTAAACCATTGCCTAAATATGTTTTCTGTAAAGAAGATTTAATATTGCTTTTCTTCTGGTGACTGAAATTAGGCTTTTAATTATCCCAATTCATTAATAAATCGGAAAATAACAATTTTTTTTCTCAGCCTCATGAATGACTCATATATTGCTCCTTCTTTTTCTCTAATCCATCTCAAAATACTTAGGAGATATACACATATTACAAATTATATAAAATAATTCGTGCTCAGATATTCTTCCAGTGCTCTTAACCCCAAAATGCTATTTTTGTGGAATTACATAGTTCCAATGAGAATGTTGAGAAAAAGATTTGATTGTTTTGCCTTTGTGTAAGAGAAACTGTGGCTATAGGGAGTTAGGCATCTTTAAAAAAGTTGCTAAATGTACATTAGCATCTTTCATAGGAATTTCATTCAGGGGAGGAAAATAGAAAAAGAGAAAAAATAGTTGGAAAGAAAGGGAAAAAAAAAGAAAATGAACACAGAGAATCTGAAACAAACAGATAAAATAAGGTAGTAGACATCCCCAAATATCAGTAACCCACAATGGACTAGCTCCTCCAGTTAAAAGACACTAAGTGTCAAACTGCATTTATTTACATACAGGTACATACATGCATTATACACACACATACTTTTTTTTTTTTTAGACGGAGTCTCGCTCTGTCACCAGGCTGGAGTACAGTGGCACAATCTCAGTTCACTGCAACCTCCACCTCCTGGGTTCAAGCAATTCTCCTGCCTCAGCCTCTCAAGTAGCTGGGCATGTGCCACCACACCCAGCTAATTTTTGTATTTTTAGTAGAGACAGGGTTTCACCATGTTGGCCAGGATGGTCTCAATCTCTTGACCTTGTGATCTGCCTGCCTCGGCCTCCCAAAGTGCTTGATTACAAGCATGAGCCACTGCACCCAGCCACACACACATATTCTTTTTATGAGACATATCTAAAATTTAAGGATACATAAAGGTTGGAAGGCTGAAAACTGATTTCCATGGAGTACACAATCAAAAGAAAGCTACACCAGCAGTATTAATACCAGACAAAATAGGCTTTAAGGCGAAGGGCATTCCTCTGTCTGGGAGATGAAGAGGGTCACTACCTAATGATTAAAATTTCCATTAACCAGGAATAGAAAAAAATTTATAAGCTTGTACACACATGATAACTTAGCCTTAAAATGGAGGAAGCAAAAGTGACCAAATTATACAGAAAAACAACACATCCACCTAATAGTGGGAGAATCTAACAGATCTCCGCTGGTAATAGTTAAAACAGGCCGTGCACAGTGGCTCATGCCTGTAATCCCAGCTCTTTGGGAGGCTGAGGCAGGCGGATCACCTGAGGTTGGAAGTTCAAGAGCACCCTGAGCAAGCAACATGGTGAAACCCTGTCTCTACTAAAAATACAAAATTAGCCAGGCATGGTAGCACATGCCTGTAATCCCAGCTACTCAGGAGACTGAGGCAGGAGAATCGCTTGAATTGGGGAGGTGGAGGTTGTGATGAGCCGAGATCATACCATTACACTCCAGCCTGGGCAACAAGAGTGAAATAAAATAAATAAGAGTGAAACAAAATAAAATTAAAAAAAAAAAAGTTAAAACAGACCCCCAAAAAATCAAGATCTAGAACTTGTAAAGCACAGGAGCTGGATATACTGAACATGTTTATAATACTGTACCAAACAGCTGCACAAACACATTCTTTTCAAGCACACGTAGCAGATTTATGAAATTTGATGACATTGAACCAAAAGCAAGTCTCAAACTGTCAAAGGATTACTATCAAAATGGACAAGCCTACTCCGATCAGAGTGAAAATGAGTTAGACATTAAAATGATTTTAAAAAACCTCCCATCTGTTTGCAATTTAAGAAACATACATCTAAACAATTCATGAGGCAAGGAAGAGATCAGACAGCAATTAGAAAGTATTTAGAATCAGCTGGCAGAAACTCACATCTTTAATCCCAGCACTTTGGGAGGCTCAGGCAGAAGGACTGCTTGAACCAAGGAGTTCCAGGCCAGCCTGGGGAAGATAGTAAAACTCTGTACAAAAATAAAATAAAGATAGCCAGGTGTGGCCAGGCATGGTGCCTCATGCCTGTAATCCCAGCATGTTGGGAGGCCAAGGTAAGAGGATTACTTGAGCTCAGGAGTTTGAGACCAGCTTGCAGAACATAGCAAAATCTCATCTCATTAAAAAAAAAAAAAAAAATAGCCAGGTGTGGTGGTGCATGCTACTCAGGAGGCTGAAGTAGGAGGGTGGCTTGAGCCCAGGAGTTTGAGGCTACAGTGAGCTATGATAGCGCCACTGCACTCCAGCCTGGGTGACAGACTTTATTTATTTATTTTTTTAAAGACAGAGCCTTGCTCTGTTACTCAGGCTAGAGTGAAGTGGCACCATCTTGGCTCACTGCAACCTCCACCTCCCAGGTTCAAGTGATTCTCCTGTCTCAGCCTCCCTAGTAGGTAGGATTATAGGTACCCACCACCATGCCCAGCTAATTTTTATATTTTTAGTAGAGACGGGGTTTCACCATGTTGGCCATGCTGGTCTCAAACTTCTGACCTCAAGGGATCCGCCTACTGCAGCCTCCCAAAGTGCTGGGATTATAGTCGTGAGCCACTGTGCCTGGCCCTCTATTTTAAAAAATAAATAAAAATAATAAAACATGTCAAAACTGTTCAGGTGCTGGGTGTGGTGGCAGATGCCTGTAGTCCCAGCTACTTGGGTAGGAGAATCACTTGAGCCTAACTTGGGAAATACAGCAAGACCACATCTGGAAAATAAATAAATAAATAAATAAAAATTAAACAACCTGGTGGGGAACAGCTGAAACAATACTTAGAAATGGATGTCTTGCTGGGTGCAGTGGCTCATACTTATAATCCCAGCACTTCGGGAGGTCAAGGTGGGTGGATCACCTGAGCCCAAAGAGCTTGAGACCAGCTTGGGCAATATGGTAAAACCCCATCTCTACAAAAAATACAAAACATTATCTGGATGTGTTGGCATGTGCCTGTAGTCCCAGCTACCCAAGAGGCCAAGGCAGGAGAATTGCCTGAACCCTAGAGGTTGAGGCTGCGGTGAGCCAAGATTGCACTACTGCACTCCATTCTGGTAGACAGAGTGAGACTCTGTCTCAAAAAAAAAAAAAGACACACAGCTGCAAGAGAGAATCTTAGGAGCAAGATATAAGCAAAAAAAAAAAAGCAAGGTGTAATAGAATAAATAGAACATGGTAACATTTTTGGAGATATAAATAAATGTTGTAAACTATAAAGAGAAACAAGGGGCTGGGCGAGGTAGCTCACGCCTATAATCCCAACACTTTGGGAGGCCAAAGCAGGGGGCGGATCACAAGGTGAGGAGTTAGAGACCAGCCTGGCCAATATGGTGAAACCCTGTCTCTACTAAAAATACAAAAATTAGCCTGGTGTGGTGGCACGCCCCTGTAGTCCCAGCTACTCAGGAGGCTGAGGCAGAAGAATTGCTTAAACCTGGGAGACAGAGGTTGCAGTGAGGTGAGATCGAGCCATTGCGCTCCACTCCAGCCTGGGTGACAGAGCGAGACTTCATCTCAAAAAAGAAAGAAAAGAAAAATAAGGGAATGATAAAACTCCAGAAATGACAACTTTGAAGGAGGAAAGGAATGTGACAGAGGGAAAAACCAAGCCTGTCGCACTGAGGACATCAGACAATAGCAGTGTTCTAGAATTGGGCACATTTGTATCATTCTCTTATATCTTGCATTCATCTTATAACCTTTGAATGTGGACAGTATTTAATAAAGTTAAGTACATTTAAAATAAGTGCACAACCCAGCGTGGTGGCTCATGCCTGTAATCCTAGCACTTGGGGAGGCTGAGGTGGACGAATCACTTGAGGTCAGAAGTTCAATACAATCCTGGCCAACATGGTGAAAACCCATCTCTACTAAAATTATAAAAATTAGCTGGGCTTGGTGGTGGGTGGCTATAATCCCAGCTACTTTGGAGGTTGAGGCAGAAAAATCACTTGAACCCGGGAGGTGGAGGTTGCAGTGAGCTGAGACCATGCCACTGCACTCCAGCCTGGATGACACAGTGAGACTCTATCTAAAAAAAAACATAAAAAATAAGTGCAGTTGCTAAATTACAGGATACCTGTTCCTGTATATGTGCAAGAAAAGTATTAATTTTTTGGAGAAAAGTTTAACTTATAATGAGTTCTTAATTACTTAGGTTTCATGATTTAAATTTTCTCTTCTATAAAGGTGTTTCTTCCCCTACCCCCATTCCCTTTGCCTTGCTGCTCCTTAATTGCAGGAAAGATTTGAAGCACTCTTCACCATCTATGATGACCAAGTTACTTTTCAGCTGTTTAAAAGCTTTAGAAGAGTCAGAATAAATTTCAGCAAACCTGAAGCGGCAGCAAGGGCGCGAATAGAACTCCACGAAACAGACTTCAATGGGAAGAAGCTAAAGCTGTATTTTGCACAGGTACTTCTCAGTGAAAGAACACTGTTCTCTAAACTTGTCCTTCTCCATCCAAAAATATTTTTAGTTCACCATTTTCTGTATTATTGTAGCAGAGGTGTGTGGAATGAACCATCTCAATCAGCAAATAATATAAAAATATTTTCCCTTCATTTTACGGATACATAATTTTATTTATTTATTAAGCACCTTTGCCTTACCTAACTTTATTTTGCTGAGAATAGTAGTTAACGGAGTTTATTTTTCTGGCAGCTTTGCTCAACTGGGATTCTGTGTGGGTACCCCCCACCGACCCCCAAGGTTAGGGAACTCACTTCTCTCCTGTGCATCTAGAATGGCACACAGGAAACAGGACATGAGATCCTTGGGAAAATGGAGAAAATGGTTTCTTAAATCGTTTTCTGTGTTCTGAATTCATATGAGGAACCGGGGAGGTGACGTAGAACTGAACAAAAAGGCTGCCTTTGACTCTGAAGTTGCTGAGGATCCTGTAGGGAACCAAAAACTGGCTGTGCTGAGTAGCTTCTGATCCTGCATTGGTGTGACTCTGGGAAACCGATTTCTTCGGAGAAGAGTTGGCAAAATAAAGGGATTACTTGTGTATTAAGTACACTGTTTTATTTTCAAAAAAGTAATTTTTTCAGTCTCACTTTCAAATTTTAAAAAAAGATTTGTTGCCTTATATTGCAAGTAAAAATCTAAATGAAAGAGATGTCTTGGCGTTTCTTGGTAGAGTCTTGAGATGGAGTACAAAATAAGTCATTAAAACCTAATCTCTTCTAAGGCCGGAATTTAGTAATTACTAAATTCCAGAGAAATGTCATTCATTTCTGTTCATCCATTTATTTATTTTCTTTTTAAAAAATTATTTATTTTCTTTTATTTATTTTTTTGAGATGGAGTCTCGCTCTGTCACCCAGGCTGGAGTGCAGTGGTGCAATCTCAGCTCACAACTTCTGCCTCCCAGATTCAAGTGATTCTTCTATCTCAGCCTCCCTAGTAGCTGGGACTACAGGCACGCACCACCACATCTGGCTAATTTTTGTATTTTCAGTAGAGACAGAGTTTCACCATGTTTGTTGACCAGGCTGGTCTCGAACTCCTGACCTTAGGTGATCCACTCTCCTCGGCCTCCCAAAGTGCTAGGAGTACAGGCGTGAACCACTGCGCCCAGCCCATCCATTTGTTTTTTATTCAGTTAATATTTATGAAGCACTTACCATGTGTGGCCATGTGCTGTGCACTGAGTGGCCAGTGGTGAGCCAAACAGACCCAGTCCTACCCTCTTGGAGATTATAGACTGTTTAAGAGAAATTTTTAATGTTCTGCAAAAAGATGGAACAGTAAACATAAAGGTGAAAAATGAAGAAAACAGCCCAGTTTGCAAACTGGCTTTGAGCGTCTCGCTCCCTGCAGGTGCAGACATCTGGCGAAGTGCGGGACAAGTCGTATCTCCTGCCGCCCCAGCCGGTCAAGCAGTTCCTCATCTCCCCTCCAGCCTCTCCTCCGGTGGGGTGGAAGCAGAGTGAAGACGCAATGCCTGTTATAAATTATGATTTACTCTGTGCTGTTTCCAAACTGGGACCAGGTAATACACTTCTCTTTTTCCTCTTTTCTTCCCCAAGAAACTTGTATTGAAGATCATATTCAGCAGTGTGCGTTGTGGCCATATGGTTAGAGCAGAAGATGAAGTCACACACACCGGGTTCAAATTCCAGCTGTGGCATCTGCTTGCTCTGTGATCTTGAGCAAGTTACTTAGCCTCCATTTTCTGAGCCTCTACTTTTATATCTATAAAGTGGGGAGAATCATATCCACCATTCAATGTGGTTATAAGTATTAAATGAGGGCCAGGTGTGGTGGCTCACACCTGTAATCCTAGCACTTTGGGGGGCTACAGCGGCCAGATTGCTTGATGTCAGGAGTTCGAGACTAGCCTGGCCAACATGACGAAACCCCATCTCTACTAAAATACAAAAAACCAGTTAGGAGTGGTGGCGTATGCCTGTAGTCCCAGCTACTCCAGAGGCTGAGGCAGGAGAATTGCTTGAACCCAGGAGGCAGAGGTTGTGGTGAGCCGAGATCACACCACTGCACTCCAGCCTGGGCAATGGAATGAGACTCCATCTCCAAAAAAATAAAAATAAAAGGCTGGGCACAGTGGCTCACGCCTGTAATTCCAACACTTTGGGAGGCCTAGGTGAGCAGATTACGAAGTCAGGAGATTGAGACCATCCTGGCCAACATGGTGTGAAACCTGTCTCTACTAAAAATACAAAAATTAGCTGGGCGTGGTAGCATATGCCTGTAGTCCCAGATACTCGGGAGGCTGAGGCAGGAGAATTGCTTGGACCCACAAGGCAATTGCAGAGAGCTGAGGTTGTACCACTGAACTCCAGCCTGGAGACAGAGCGAGACTTTGTCTCAAAAAAAAAAAAAAAAGTAAACAAAATAAAAAATAAGTAGTAAATGACGTATATATAATAATAAATGTAACTGCATTTTTTACTACTACAAATTTTGCTAGTACTTGATAGGCAGTTAGTGACTATTGGGTGCCACTGAGTATCAGATAGACAACAACTTCTTTGAATATATTTCAAGGAGTTGGTGGGATATCATCTCATTCCTTCAATATTTTTGTCATTTCCTCTATTCCTTTTGTTTATTTTCTCCACCTCTCTGCTCCTTTTAAAATCATGTAAGAAACTGATGCGATGCTGGTTCAGACAGCTGTCTATCCAAGACAGAGCTATGTGTCTTGTAGGGGAATAAAAGAGGCATTTTGAGGAAGAAGTGACTCAGTACTGTTTTTAAACTTTGGAGCTGGATATCCAAGGTCCTATAATCAAGGGATTGCCTGTGCTGCCTGTAGCCTTACAATTATCTCCCAAAAACTGAAAACCGAAACCATTACGAAGTTAAACAGATTTACTTGGCCAGGCGTGGTGGCTCCCCTGCTTTGGGAGGCCGAAGCAGGCCTGGGGTCACGAGTTTGAGACCAGCCTGGGCAACATGATAAAACCCCATCTCGACTAAAAATACAAAACTTAGCTGGGCATAGTGGCACACACCTGTAGTCCAAACTACTAGGTGAGGCTGAGGCAGGAGAATCCCTTGAACCTGGGAGGAGGTTGCAGTGAGCTGAGATCATACCACTGCACTCTAGCCTGGGCAACAGAGTGAGACTCCATCTCAAATAAGTAAACAATTAAAAAGAATAAACAGATTTACTCATATTATTCATAAAACAATAATTAGTGTTTGCATTTTAGCTCCCAAGACCTCAGTACTGAAATAACATAAGAGCCTTAAAGTATCAAATCTCTAACAACAAAACAAGATAAAATACTCTGACATAGGATTTAAAGATTTAAAAAGCAAGAATCACCCATTAAAATAGGAGTAGAACAAAATATTGCAAGAAACAAAAGAGTTCTTTTTGCTGGAGGTGAAGCTTTTGTCATGGTTCTCACTTGGTTTGCCCCCGCAGGAGAGAAGTACGAACTTCACGCGGGAACGGAGTCGACACCCAGCGTGGTGGTTCATGTCTGTGAAAGTGAAACTGAAGAGGAAGAAGAAACCAAAATCCCCAAACAGAAAATTACCCAGACGAGGCGCCCCGACCCTCCAACCGCAGCACTGAATGAGCCCCACACCTTCGATTGTACGCTGTGAGGCCCTTGCTTGTGGTGCGAGGCGGCTGTCTTCGTGGGCTCCGGCCATGGTGATCTCTGCCTCGAGGCTGATGTGTTGCTGTGAACAGCGTAGGTGAGACTTTGCAGAGTGAGGTTTAGGTCTTCTCACCACGCCTGGTGTAGAGTAGCAGCTGATTTGACCCGTCCCAGATTGTAAGTGATATTCCAAATGGCACTTTACATTAAAGGAAAAGCCCCCAAGATGTGGCCACCCTGAACCATTTTTAAATAGTGACAGATTAGGAAACCAGCTTCCTGCCCCTCCAGCCGGTTAATTCCTCCTGCTTCTGTATCTCATGGGTTACCACAAACTGGAACTCTAGTCACACCCAGTACAGTACCCTTTTTATGAATTTAAAAATAGTCTTACAATTTTAATCATCGTCCGTGGGTATTTTTGTACCGGTATAAATAGCTTCTAATTAATAAATCGATCAAAGGTTGTTATTCTATATACATGAAATTTTTTGCAGGAAAAGAAACCTGAAATACAGAATAATTTATAGAAATCATGGTTCTCAAGTATTTGTTTCATTAGCTTTGGGTAAGAAATGCCAAATCCACTTTTAGGATCAGTCTTAGGACACAGATCCACCCACGTGTTGCCCTTACCTGGAATTTGGGATAAAGCAATGGACAGGCCCCGTTCCTGATGCGGCGCCCTCCAGGCATGGCTGCCGGGGAAGGATGGCTACTTTGGAAGTGGGACATATCACAAATGAGCCTGAATGATTAGGATTGCAGGTGGCTACTGCATTGTGCTGTTCATGACCGTGTTCTAGCCTCTAGACCACCCCACTACCTTCATTCACCAGTTTTTATCCTTCACCTTTGCCAATGTCTATCATGTTAACCATTAGTTCTCGAGTTTTTTGCTATGATGTGTATACTTATGTATGTCATTTATAGACTTTCAACTAGAAAGGTCATGATAAGGTTTTCTGAAGACCATTTGTAAATTGTCCACTTAACCATTTTTCAGCTTGCTTTGAAAGAAGTCACACCTACTATTTTTCTATTAATTAGGCAATGAGAGGGAGATCATTCAGTTTTACTTTGCTTTTTGTTGAAATTTTTTACTCTGGATTGCAGTTGGCGCTTTTCCTAAAACCAAATTGTTCTCACTTCTGTGTCAGAATGTATATTTGAAGCTCTCTAAGAAGCAGCGGGATCTTTTTAACTCTTTCCGGTGTGTTTCGACTTTGAAGTCTCTTTTGTAGAAAAGTCTTGTAACTGAGAAGGCTTTGCCTTGGACCGGGTGGGTCTGCTGGCCTCTCCTCACTGTGCTGTTTCCTTTGTGTGGCACACGTGGGAAGCTCCCTGGCATGTGAAGGAGATGCAAACATGAGAACTAGTGAACCAGTGTGGCTGCCACCACGAAGGAACAGAACACAGGCATTCAATGATGATGTCCGCACCGTGTGGTAACATGTCATTGTGGTTTAGTTCTCACTATGGTAAAATTTACTTCTGAGCACTTACACTGTGTTGCATATCCCCAAATTCTTGTTTCTATATTTTCCTTGCCCTCAAATACTCTTGAGGTGATAAACCTTTCCATTTGTAGCCAACTACCATTGCTAAGCCTCCATGTAAATTCAGTTGAAATTTGCAATTCTATCAGCAATTAATGTATTGAATGCAGATCATCATTTGTCATTTTAATAAATGTACTTTACAGTTCTGGACTCTGCTTTGTGCCCATTTTTTGTTGCAAGGTGGACCCTGTATGTCAGGAGACATGTATTGTCAACAATTGGGAATTTTTTAAATTTCCTTTTAGGTAATAGTTACTCACTGTAATTTTCTAAGTGATCAAACTCCATGTTTTCTTATTTGGCTTGGCTTTCATTCTCTGCCTGCCAATTAAACAATATTCTATTCTTGGCCAGGCATGGTGGTTCAAGCCTGTAATCCCAGCACTGTGGGAGGCTGAGGAGGGCGGATCACCAGAGGACAGAAGTTTGAGGTCAGCCTGGCTAACATGGTGAAACCCTGTCTCTTCTAAATATACAAAATCAGCTGGGCGTGGTGGCACGCGCCTGTAATCCCAGCTACTAAGGAGGTGAAGGCAGAAGAATCCTTTGAACCTGGGAGGCGGAGGTTGCAGTGAGCTGAGATCATGCCACTGCACTCCAGCCTGGGTGACAAAGTGAGACTTGGTCTCAAAAAAAAGAAGAATATTATTTCTAACACATGAGACTTTATACTCAAGCAGTGCAAATTACCCAGTGGTTTTCTATTTTTCTGTTTTTGAGGGCATTGAATAAACTGAAGAAAACTTTAAACCAAAATTAGAGAGAGAGAGTCATTTAAACTTTTCTGAATGGAAAACATTAATATTTTCATTTTTCTAGTATAATGTAATAAAGTGAATTCTAAAAAAAAAAGCTACTAAGTACCCATCAACTTTTTCATACTGTGAAATGAACCAGGATCTTAACAGTCCTATCATCTCTGGGTTTTTGGCTGTTTAATATCCAGTTCATGTAACCAGTCTACAAGAGACAAATCTCATTTTTGTTGTTGTTGTTGTTGTTCTTTTAATAAGCTTTTCTACATTACTAATTGAGTTATTTATTCAGCCTTGATAGGCCAGGCATGGTGGCTCATACCATAATCCCAGCACTTTGGGAGGCTGAGGCGGGTGGATCACCTGAGGTCAGGAGTTCGAGGCCAGTGACCAACAAGGAGAAACCCTGTCTCTACTAAAAATATACAAAATTAGCCAGGTGTGGTGGCGCATGCCTGTAATCTCACCTACTTGGGAGGCTATGGCAGGAGAATTGCTTGAACCCAGGAGACGGAGGTTACAGTGAGCCAAGATCATGCCATTGTACTCCAGCCTGGGCAACAAGAGTGAAACACTGTCTCCAAAAAAAAAAAAAAAAAAAAATTTACTCTGATAGTATAGTAGCCATATTTTCTTTAGAAATTATAACCTCTTCATGGGAATCAAACTGTGTAGAAAATTGTGAGGAAAGATAATGGTATTTTATGTTGGGAAAAACATTTGTGAAGGATGAGAAAACCGTAACACTTAACAAGGATAGTCAAAGAACCTGCACTGCATTGGCTCTTACGTTCTGATTTTTTTTTAGTACATCCACTTGATGAAACCTAAGATAAATCCATGTAAAAACTGTACAGGTGAGCATCTCTGAGGTTTAAGGTACTCTGAGGCAGAAATGGATAAGAACAGTTCCATTGCCTTCGAGAACTAAAAATCATCGGGAAAGCAAATTAATCTTTTCACATTCTGCTTCTTCAAAATGTTATGCTCAAAAACATATCAGTAAGGAAGAACCAAAGCAAAGCTTCAAGAAGTTCAACATAAGGGTTTAAATAAAACATTGTAGTCATTTACGGAATGTTTGAAATGAAGAGATACCAGGAGATAGAGGTGAAGTGCAGTACTTTTATTCTTTAGAATATAGTCTTTAGCCAGGTGCAATGGTGCGTGCCTGTAGTCTCAGCTATTTGGGAGGCTGAGACGAGAGGATCACTTGAGTTCAGAAGTTCAAGACCAGCTGGGACAACATAGCAAGTCCCTGGCTTTAAAAAAAAAAATTATTTCCCATTCATATTATTAATTCCATCTGCAGGGGCTCATGCCTGTAATCCTAATACTTTGGGAGGCCAAGGCAGGCAGATTGCCTAAGCTCAGGAGTTCGAGACCAGCCTAAGTAACATGGTGAAACCTCATCTCTGCTAAAATACAAAAAAAAAATTAGTCGGCTGTGGTGGCGTGTACCTGTAGTCCCAGCTACTCAGGAGGCTGAGGCAGGAGAATTGCTTAAACCCAGGAGGTGGAGGTTGCAGTGAGTCAAGATCATGCCACTGCACTCCAGCCTGGGCGACAGAGTGAGACTCTTTAAAGAAAAAAAAAGTCATGATTACAAAGTGAAAAGATTTGCCTTTCTTAGAGGTTCAGTCACAGAGGTGAAAGTGCCTTTGGAAATCATATACTCTATTCCTGTGTTACACAGATTAGAAAAACTGAGGTTAATGTACTGACTTAGGCACCCTAGCAAGTCAACCCAGGGACTAGAACTGGCCATCCCAACTCCTGGGCTAGTGCTTTTTCTACCTTTTTTTTTTTTTTTTTTTTTGCATTGGCCTCTTAAAGAGGCAGTGAATACTAATTCCTGTCATGGAGGTGGAGGGGAGGCATGAAGTGGGAGGATTCTTTTTTCCCCAATGGGAAACAGTGAATAAGACAAGTCTCATCATGTGATGGAAGAGGTGACTTAGTAATATTAGTTAATGAATTTGATGTCCCATATTTTGTGGTTTTGTTCTCATTGAAACATTGGCGTTGGAATCTGCCTAAATAACTTTATCTTGATAGCCAGCAATTATGCTGGCATTTTATGTGGGCTTTCCTAGATTTTCATATTAATGAAATTATTATTAATAGTCATACTTAAGATGTAACTCTACTGAACTAGAATGAGATCTGATATGATGTGGAAATAAAAGAGTTTGCAGTGGAATGATACTCTCACTCGGTGCTTGTCAAATTGAGTTCCATTCAAGACTGACCTGCTATGACTAACCTATCCAAGGCTTCATGTTTTTATATGGACTATTTCATAGACCATAGATTTATTTTAAGAGGGAATATCTCAGACATAATTAAGCAATGGGAATTGTACCCAGTCCTATGGTGCCTCAGGTCCTCTGCCTACTGGGTTTCTCCCCTTCCTACAGAGCTGTGGATCTTGTACGTACCTTATGGGTGAACTTGGTCCATCTTTCCTTCTTCCTTTTTTGTACATTTGCATTTATATCTTCCTGTACTAAAAGACACAAATTATTTATAATTGGGATAACAACATAAAGGAACAAAAGATGGGGAAATAGGCTGGGCGCGGTGGCTCACGCCTGTAATCCCAACACTTTAGGAGGCTAAGGTGGGTGGATTATGAAGTCAGGAGTTCGAGACCAGCCTAACTAATGTGGTGAAACCCCGTCTCTACTAAAAAATACAAAAATTAGCCAGGCATGATGGCATGTGCCTTTAATCCCAGCTACTCAGGAGGCTGAAGCAGGACAATCACTTGAACCTGGGAGGCAGAGGTGGCAGTGAGCTGAGCTCATGCCATTGCACTCCAGCCTGGGTGACAGAGTGAGACTCCATCTCAAAAAAAAAAGTTAAAAAAAATGGGGAAATAGTTGCTTCCTAGCTGGGACAATAAGTCCATGTTATAGAAACCCACTATTTAAAAAGTTAAAAAAAATTTAAAGAATAAGATTGATGACGTCGTCCTACAATTCGCTAAATACTTTTGTCTTTTAAGCTTCCCTTGGTGTATGGATCAGCCCGAACATCTTCGTCAGAATGCCATTGTTTAATTGTGAATCGGGAAAATGTGAATCATTTGGAGACTGTTTTCTTATGACCAAATGTACAATCAGTAAGACAACTGAAAGCAACAACCGCTGGGTTCACTGACAAAGATCATAAAAATCATCATGTTCAAAGGAGAGTTTTTGGCCAAGGTTAAGAATAACTAACCTGGGGCTGAGTCAGTGTCTCTGCGCACCTCAGTAACAGTTTAAAGATCTTTCCCTAAATTCGTTCTGTGGTCTGTCATTTTGACGGAAATCTGTATTTCCTTTTGAAACAGAATCATATCCTGCAAAGTGTTGGCACTCCTGCATAGCTTTGACTGACTGAATGTTCACGCCCATCATAATGGCGGATTTCTATCTATGCAGATAATATGTTTTTTAATATTGTTTTCTGTTGAGTCCCCAATTTTCCTAACTCAAACTGGGGACTGAGGAGAGAGAAAGGGGGCTATCCCTGTAAATGTGCCATATTCTTCATGCTGCTTTTCAACCCCACGTGAGTATTAATGGTCAGTTCTGCTATAATGTATGTGTCCTTCAAGTTTCAGAAAACTTTCCCAATAATTTCACTGCAATCTTAATTGAACCCAAGAGTTGAAGTTATTTTCTCTGAACGTTTGTGATCTGTTAGATTTGGGGCATGTTATCTTTATGGTTACTATAAGCTGTAGTGCATACTCTTTGTATTGCAAAACACTGGGCAGAATTTGTGTATATGTATTCCATATTTTAGTGTGTTTGGAGTGAGAATCCATAGTTCGTAGTAGTTTGTTATTTGTCAACTTTAACTCCCCTGTGTTTTAAGGACATTTAAACATTCCTTGTCTTCTCAAGGTGACAAAGCAGAATGTAATTTTTCTTTTTGGAAGCTTCGTGATGACCTATAACAAGTTCTGTTTTTAAAACAAATACAAATAAAGTTAGTTTTTTAAATCACGCCATTGAATTGAGTTTTTTTGGGTGCAGTGTTTTCAATGTGTATCATTGACATTTAGCTAATAAGACAAGACAGAGAAGTGCAATATTATGTCTGTTCCTTTAACAAGAGTCCTGTTGCATATTAATGCCGTGCAGTGCCAGAGTTCAAGGTGGTGAGTCACTGCCCGCTCTGTAAATAACCGCCGCAGTTTCATCTCTTCCCCAAGAAATGTTTTTACCCTGGTTTCTTCTTTGATTAAAAAGATTTATTCCTGGTAAAGACTTTTTGTCTTGGTTAAAAAAAAAAAAAAAAAAAAAAAAGAGACTATATCTCCGAAATGGGAAACTAGATGACGTGGAAGTTATCAAGTGCAGTGGGATTTTGAAGATGTACTTTCAAGCCATGGGACTCTGCTCTTTGTTTAAATGAAACCTGACACAAAGCCAATGTAAAACTGATAACAAAAAATAAAGGCAAACAAAGCTGCTCCTTTTCAAGGGGCTGAGGGAGGAGTAGGGACCCTGTGAGAGCTCAGCAGAGCAGACCCAGACATACCCCTTTATTTCCCCTGCCTGCCTCCCTCCACTTCCTCCTCCATCCCCATCCCACCCGCAAAACAAGAAAGTGGCCCCAGAGGCATTGCCAAATGCACACATCTGGACAGTCGTGGACCTGGGACTAGAACCCATTTCCTGACATTCTACCATGCCCCACTGCTTTGTTAGACCAAAATCTTTAATTTTTCTGGATCCATGTATTTGGCTTCAAAGATTCTTGATATTGTTCTGTTTTTGAGACAAGGTCTTGCTCTATCGCCCAGGCTGGAGTGCAGTGGTGTGAACACAGCTCACTGCAGCCCTAGTCTCCCGGGCTCAAGTGATCCTCCCAGTCTCTGAAGTAGCTAGGACCACAGGTGTGCTCCACCACACCCAGCTAATTTTTGTATTTTCTGTAGAGACAGGGTTTCCCTATGTCGCCCAGGCTGGTCTGTTAACTCCTTATCTCAGGTGAACTACCTGCCTAGGCCTCCCAAAGTGCTGATATTACAGGCATGAGCCACAGCACCTGGCCTTCCTTGTTTTTAAAATACTAAAGTGGAGTCTCTGGGGACATTTCCACTTTAATAAATGCTTTTCCAAGCTGTGTTCTGTAGGGCTCCCTCCAGGGGGCGCCATGCTTCCAGGTTCCAGGGGCCTTGCACTCCCGCTTCAACTACCCTATTATTGGCTGTACCTAAAGGTCTAAGCATCAGGTTTCACTTGAGCTAAGGATTCCTTGGCTAAAACAGAAAACTGGAAAACCACCGCAAATAATTTAAGACAAAAAAATAATTTTTTTTTTTGAGACCAAGTTTCACTCTGTTGCCCAGGCTGGAGTGCAGTAATCTTGCCTCACTGCAACCTCTGCCCGCCGAATTCAAGCAATTCTCCTGCCTCAGCCTCCCAAGTAGCTGGGACTACAGGCGCAGGCCACCATGCCTGGCTAATTTTTGTATTTTTAGTAGAGATGGGTTTCCACCATGTTTGCCAGGCTGGTCTTGAACTCCTGACCTCAGGTGATCTGCCCATCTTGGCTTCCCAAGGGCTGAGATTACAGGTGTGAGCCACTGTGCCCAGCCAAAAAGCAAAATTTTTAATGCAGAATAGAAAATATAAGAATCAAGATTTAAGTCATTCACCTAATAGACTGGCTTAAAGCTAAATGCATGCAATGTGTGTATCAGATGTGTCTGAGTTCTGTTATCACTGAGAAGTATGTTAAAAGGGCAGGAGTGGGCAATCACTATATTCCTGCCCTCAATGAGCATATTAAAATGTGGTTCTAATCTGGAAGAAAAAAATAAAAATTCTTACACACATAGGAAAGATCCCATCTTGCAAGCTTCTCTGGGTCTTCTGAGACATAGAAGGTGTAAATATAAGTGATTTGTAGATTAGATAGATATTTCAGTAAGGTATTTCAAAGTACATTACTTGGGGAGAGTTTATGATCCAAAATGTTTGGGAGTGTTAAATGTTAAAAGTTAAAGACCTAAATCTAGAATGTAAAATTACTAATAGAACAAATTGTAGGAGAATATTATTGTGACCTAGAGACAGGGAAAGACTTCATAAAACTTTAAAAGCATAAGCCATAAAGTAAGAATTCTAATTGGTTACATCAAAAGTAATGATTAATGTTCAATGAAGAATGCCATGAAAATGTTGACAACAGGGAGAAATATTTGCAGTCCTGATGTTACCGCAAAGGGGCCCTAATTTAGACCCCTGCAGAGTGTTTTTAGATCTCATGCAAGAAAGAATTCAGGATGAGCCCACAGAGTAAAGTGAAAGCAAGTTTATTAAGAAAGTAAAAAAAAATGAGCCGGTCACAGTGGCTTACACCTGTAATTCCAGCACTTTGGGAGGTTAAATTGGGTGGATCATTTGAGGTCAAGAGTTCAAGACCAGCCTGGCCAACACAGTGAGACACCATCTCTACTAAAAAATACAAAAATTAATCAGGCATCGTAGTGCGCACCTGTAGTCTTAGCTACTTGGGAGGCTGAAGCAGGAGAATTGCTTGAACACAGGAGGCGGAGGTTGCAGGTGAGCCGAGATTGTGCCACTATACTCCAGCCTGGGTGACAGAGTGAAACTGTGCCTTAAGAAAAAAGAAAGTAAAGGAATCAAAGAATAATATTCCATAGAGAAGGGTATTCCCAAAAGCACAAGGGGGAACGCGCCTGCCTAGGGTACAATGCCTGTTTTACATAGAAGATAAAGCAAAAATCATGGCGGAGATGTGCTCTACTACAAAGGTTTGTGACAAAAGATTGTTAATCTTTGTGTAACTACTGTCTTCCACAAGTATCTATATTATTATCTTTAAAGCAAAACATATTCTAAACTAAAAATGCTTTTCTTCTTAAGATATTGGGACATCAGGACATTTCCTGGGTCTATTATTTCCCATTACTAACGTTAACTCATTAACTTGTTCCCTTAACTGTAAATATCCTGTGACTAGGGACGCCTAACCTCCTAGGAATGCAGCCTAGTAGGTCTCAGCCTCATTTGGCCCAGCCCCTATTCAAGATGGAGTCATTCTGGTTTGACACTAACACGGGGTAAATAACTATACAATGCAAAGAGATTTTGCCATTGACAAGGAAAAGCAGCCCAATAGAAAAATAGGCTAAAAGATACAAATGATAATTGACAGAAAAGGAAAAAACAAGCCCATGAAGAAATACTAAAACCCAGTAATCAGATAAAGTGCAAATTAAAATGACAAGATGCCATTTACGCCTATTGGAGTCTTGAAAATGTAAAGGCAATTAATGCCAAGTATAGCCGGAGGGCAGGAATGTGGAAAATCTGATCTGCAACTGGTAGAAGTATAGACTAGTTTAGTCGTTCTGAACAACAAACTGGCAGGCCTTGGTCATATAAATAAGAACAAAATCTCTGACTCTGCAGTTCTGCTCCTGGAGATAGATAAGACAGAGAGAGAGAGAGATGTTCCAAGAATATCCCAAAGGAATTTTCACACAGGGCCATAACGAGATCTACCGAGGATGTTCATTGCACCATAATTTATGGAGACAAGCTGGTGTTTGCAACTGGAATATACACAGCCACATGGATATATCTTGAAAACAGCTGAGTGGCAAAGGAGTAAGATATATCTAACATTTGTATTATGTAAAGTAACACACAAAGATAGTAATGCACTTTGCAAGAATGCATACACATTAAAAGATACGCATTAGACATATACCTCCAGCCATAAGAGGCAACTTGCACAGATCAGGGATAATGTGCCACGAATTGAGAAGTCTGATTTCCTATGAGACTTCATGTCACCTTTTGATAGACTTTAAAAAGTTACATAGATTCTTTCTTTTTTATCTTATTACAATATGTAGATAAAGATTCTATATTAAATGTATTCCCATATGGATGGAAAAAAATATACCATATTATTCATTCTTCTCTGAACTACGAATGAAGAAGCGTTGTATGTGGTTTGACTCTAGATTCACCATTTCCTTTCGGTTCAAAGAAGTAATGAGATTAATTCGTGGCCTGGTGCTATCTTTCTTCAATATCTTTTGAATAATTGAGATCTTTAATGGGAAATTACACAGTCTTCTGTCCTGAGAGATTTGACTAGGCCCCTTCTCCTAAAGGAGGAAATTAAACAGAAAATGATTTCTCAGAAATTGCTTGAGTGAGCCCATGTGAATGAAAGGTCTTTTATGGACCAAATGGACTCGTCTCCTCTGACTTATTTCCTTGATAACTTTAGTCACTTGGCAGCCTATTTATTCTGTCCCATTAGCTATTTCTAACAACTGTTGGAAAGTCTAGAATGGAGATTTGTCTCCTTTGCAAATGAGAAGCAGCCCTTGGGCATCCTGCTCATTCTGGATGCCGTACACTAATGAGTTCTGAGAGAGGGCACCGTGCCGTCCGCCAGCTCAGCTTCTGTCTCTAGACGTCTCCAACTGTATGAATTGAACTCTTTAAGATGTGCTTTCCTGGAGAGAAGTTTACTAATTGTTCATGCTAGAGAAAAAGGAGACAATTAAACCGCATGCTTAATACAAATCCATTCAGGGGTGTATTAGTTATCTTATCTCAAAATTTAGCAGCCTAAAACAACAAACACTTATTATCTCACAGTTTCTGAGGGTCAGGAATCTGGGAGTGGCTAAGTTGGACAGTGGTGGCTCAGGGTCTCTCCAAGGTTGCCATCAAGTCATTAGTGAGGTTGTGATCAGGACAGGAGGCAGAGAAATTCTAGGCAGAAAAGGACAGGGACCCTGGCAAAGCCTCACCCTCAAGCCTGGAACCACAGTCCAAAGTGAGAGCATCCCCGTTTTCCCATTCAAATGTTGCCCTTTCAAAAACCAACCCTGACTCACCCCATCCCACATCCTGAACATAAAAACCCCTGGCTCCCTTGGCAGAGAGCAGAGAAGGGGAGAAGAGAAGAAGTAGCTGGAGGACAGAGAGAAGCAACTTGACTT